GAAACTGCATCTCTGGGGAGGAGCTTTGTTGTTGAAGGCGGAGCAAAGTCCACCCAGGCATTTTGCACAGAAGAATTGTTGCTACGGGAGATTAAATAATTTCTCAAACATGCATGAAAGAATGAAGGCAACACCTCAAATATGTTTTTGACGATGGAATAACATTATAACGTAAAAAAAAGTCAATTTCACATAATACTGCCCCTTTTAAAATACTCAGTCATACAATTGTTCTCTGACTGAGATACTTTTTACTCTAAGAAAGAATAAGTTTTTACCTCAATCTAATTCTCATTAACAAATAAAATACTTTTTTTCAGGTGTTATGAGGTCACACACATACATAATAAAGATATATTAGACTAAATCCATTCTTGAATATTGCAAGTGGCTTGTCTTGTGGATCTTTTACCACCGTTTTGGTTTTAAGACAACTAAGCTGCCAAAGAAGCAAATAATGAATTGAATTGTTTCTCCTGGACCCTCTTCTATGCCACTCTTGCTTTTTATCATTTAGTTAAACATTTCTAGAGCTTCTCACATGAGTGACATTTGAGAATTTGAGTTAAATAACTACTTTTATTGAGAGCTCACACTGCACGAGTCAGTGAGGTTGTTACAGTCGACCAGTTTTTCCTCAGTTGTTCCAGGAAGTGTGTTTTCCGCTGTGGCACAGACATGTTTGTTTTCCAAATTGTCTGTTGAGCTAAGTGTTGCAGATTAAAGTTAATAAGAAAATATGGAATATTTTTACAGTCTTTAAGATAAATCTCCCTGAAGAAGGCCCATTCTGTCCATCCCATGGTGACTGGTATTGGACATCAAAGTAAAATCCAATTAGATACTGCCTTAAATTTAATGCCGCCACTCTCCTCCTCACCACCTCTCCTTTAATTCACAGCTCCTCTGCTCTGATTCTGAAGCACTTCCCCCATGTTACACTGATGTTCCCGATTAGCTAAAGTTGAAGTTTTGCTGGTTCTAATTACTTTGGAAATACGTGGATTTTGCTATTGCTACATACAGGGGTTAAAAAAACTATTCTTAAAAAAAAGATACATATGTACCACAGATACAACAGACGCATGGAAAAAGTGTATTGACAAACAAATAGTTTCACAGAAAAATATATTTTCATTTGTCTTATGTAAGTATATCAATTAGTTTGAATTCATAGAAACATTAATTTTATTTTTTCAAATGTCCACCTTATGACATTTAACTTTATTACACAAAAATTGATATATTTAAAGTGTTTAACTCTGCTTAGTGCAGAGTTAAACACTTTAACTCTGCACTAAGCAGAGTTAAAGTGCAACTGATGAAAACTAAAATTCTTGTTTGAAAATTAAAATACTACACGAGATCAATGAAACAGAACAAGTTTATCAATTTAATTAATACCAAATTCAATGTTATGAACACATTATGTTTTACACAGTCATGGAAAGACTGTCAGCATGACTGTATGATGAGGTGATACTGATGTTCTCTGAGAGTTGGGTAAATCACAAAGACTTACCCATTATGTGTGGGAAACATGTGTAATGTTAAATATTGCGCACACAGCTCTATAAAAAACATGTTGTTTTATTTAAGACACTGGCTAAAATTTCCTAAATCAGTTGGCATTGTTATATATCCATCACTGTTTTTGATTATATTACATTTGGAGTTTATATCTGCAGTTTACCATAAAGTGTTTTCTATGTTTTAATTTTTATAAGTCTAGCTAAGGACAGAACTTCCAGAGTCCAGACTGGTTTTGGTTAGAAATCTGTAGTCATAAATTTTTTGTTAAACAAATTAAACAACATTTCCTACATTAGTCTGTCAAATAACCAAAATACAATAAAACAAATCTAGTTTAACATAATCTTCTGATTATCTGTGGATTTTCAGTGAGGTCATAATCATCAAAATGAACAGAAATAAACACTTGAAATGTGTAAACCTTTAAACTTCTGTTTTTGCACTGAATTTGTGAAATTAATAATCATTTAGATAACATTCTAGATGATTCAGATGCACATTTATAACCAACACTCATCATTCAGTCTCATCGATTATTTTTGCGTTATTGCTAAACTTTCCAAATGGTTTGTCAAAGTCAGGCTGTAGCAACACCACCCAGCTTTAAGCTCATCAGGACAGACTGACAGAATGGAGAGATATCTGTAGCCCTGACCAAAGGTTGATGCAGTATGCTTTATGTGAGCGATAATGTAAGGCGGAATAATTCTTTGAGCTGTCATTCTATATGCTCATTGTAGCCTGACCTTGGTATCTGGTTAATGCCTCTTTAAATGTCTCTTATAGCTCATAATAGAATGACACTGACATTATCTGAGCTTTACCAGGTTCTGACTCATCTCTGTTCATCGGCACTGAACTGAAATTAAGGTAAAAACAGCTGAAGACGAACCATACTTTAGTCTCTATTACAACTAGAAACTTTGTTCAAGTCTTTTATTATTTACTTTATTTGTGTATCATGTACAGCAGGTCACAATTTAAATTATATTCAGTAATTAATTCATTAATCTTGACACTGAAAACTGTTAATAAGTGAATTACTTTACTCCCCATTCATTCTCAAAGCTGCTTTGCACACATTAAATTGAAAGCAGAAACTGAAAGATCAGTTTTTTTAAAGAGTAAATATAGTTTATAGCCCCAAAACAAAAACAAAAAAAAACATTAAAAACAACATTTCTGTTGTTTTTAATAGTTTTTAACGATAGGTAATTTTAAGCTGCATTTTTAAAATAAATTTGAGGATTAGAAGCCACCACCCTCTGAAAGCAGCACCAACTTGATGACTTGAAAAAAAAAAAAACAGAAAACATATTCTTGTTTCACCCACCAGGAATAGTGTCATTTATTTACAGTGAAGAACAAGATTAAATCTGCTGTTACAACTTGAGAGCTACAACCGGTGTCTTCTTCTGCCACAGCAAATGACTAAAAAAGTGTTTGTGACACTTCTGCGTGCAAACAGATTGCAACAGAAGGTACATGTTGACTTTAATGAATGACTCAAGATTTAAGGCAGCCATGTTGACAGAGAGCTCTGGCAGTTAGCAACCAGGTCCTGTTTGTGTTGGTTGAAGGAAAACATAAAGTTTCTCATATAAGAAAACATGTTGGTTTACAGTCTGTCAACCACAGATTAGCTCCTGCACAACTTTTTCTTTTTTTCCCAGTGCCTGAGTCAAATCAGTCAGAGAAAAGTGAGATTTCCAGCTACTTCCATTCACATTCCGGTCACATAGTTTTACACAGCTGAGCAGTAGAAAGTAGGAAGTAGAAAGTATAACAGTTGTTGGGGTAAAATGGGAAGGGATGACAATTTACATAAAAAATAAAATAACAAAACAGAAAAAAAAGAAATTGTTCACATGAATACCAGAATTAGTTTTTATATTATTATTCTAATTTTTGTAATAAATCACAGGCCAGATAAAAATGTGCAGACCAACTGGGCTCCCAGCAGAGCGCTTTGGACCGATTAGCGTGCCGCTCCATTAGAGTTTCCAGCTACGTTTCCATGTAGACGTCTCCTCTAATGCTGCCTCCGCCTCACTGAGCAAATTGCCATAAAAATGTCATTTTATAAACTGACATTCGAGTCTGAGTCTTTGCTATAACTGTTCTTTTTCTCAGGTGGCCACTGTGTTGTGCAGTCATGCCCAAAATCCGTGTTCCTCACATAACGTCATCACTTTTGGCAACGTTCAGCTGCAAAGTCGACTGCTTTGTGCTCAGTTTCTTTCTTTGGCACTTCTCTCCACGTTTCCTAGACATGGAAATAAAATAACCTTTGTGAGCAATTGAAAAGGTAAAATTGTAAAACGTCTGTAAGGCCTTAAAGCAAAGACATAAAAACCCTCCAGAAAGTTTGATCTACAGCTAAAATCTGACATGCTAACATCCTTCATCATTGGATTAATGTGCTTAGGCATGTGACCTTCACCAAGGTCATCGTAAAATGATAAACAGTCCAGTCATGATTTAGAGATGCATCTTGAATTTCAATTTAGGCTAACCAACGAGCATTTAAAGGGGAAGAACTTCAATAACAATTAGTCTCTGTGGTTCTCTAAATTCAAAGACAAAGAAAAATAAATATTACAGAGTTCATCTTAAAGGAGAGAGACTGGTTCATAACCTGGTTGATCAAAGTAATTTACCAGTTTCTTTCTTTTTTTTGAAAAAAGACTTGATTACCTCAAGATATCTGAAGTTATAATGGACATCAAAACATCATGTGATCCTGAAAATCTGGAGACAATGAAATGTTTCAAAAACACAACATAGAATAAGAGGTTTGTCTTTATTCAGTATGATTTTAAATCTGTCTTCAAAATGATTTCAATAAGATTTTAAAGGTCCATTCTGTTTTTATTAGTTTACCTGGTCATTAATACGCAAACCAAATACACATGAATGAATTTGTCTATATGCGTCAGGCTTTGTGCAGTGTGCATAAAATGAAGCTTCTTACCATCACATACGCTGTAACATTGACACACCTTGTACTTCAATTCTACATGAGTAGTTAAGGATTGATGCAGTCATGTTAGGCTAAAACAACTCCGCACAATTCCACTGGGAATCACACAAATATGTTTGTGGCTATTAAAGCATTTTAAAAGAAGAAGCTATTTTGCATGCATGCAGAGTCGTCATTACAATGGAAATGAGAGCAGCGGGACGGCAAATAAGAAGTGAGTGAGAAAATAGAAATTGGATAAAAGAGCCACTTGCACGCATGTCTCCAGAGTATTGGTTTGGATATCCGTTTGTGTTCATCTATATTTGTGGTTTTGGTATATTTGTATGCATCTACAGCTTAGATGGACGTAGTCGTGTATAATCCTTGGTATTTATTTTGTTTTGGTCTCCAACATTGCACGCTGTCGTCCCTGGCAGCATGTCCTATATTTTCTGCCTTTCCGTGAGTTCGCATCTTAGATGTCTTCTTTCTATTTATTCAGAAAATCAGCTCCAGTGAAACTGAGAAAAACCCCGTGAGACGTCATGGGGACAGTTTTCACCATGGAAGTCTGCGGCATCGACCTGCTGGGAGACAGGATGATTCTGCGAAGTGACGGTGAAACGTGTCATTCCTATAAACCATCGGGGGGTTCTATAGAAAACAATGCAAACACTCAAAGATGAGGTGTAGTGAGTCAATCTTTTCATCTAGCTGGTTTCACAACTATGACTGCTGGAGCTCTGGGAGTATTTGTATTGTGTTGAAGATGCAGTTGTTTTGTAGATCAAAGGGGGAAAAAACTGTCTGCATTACACACCAGAACTCTGGCAGACTTTTTCTTAATTCTGCCTCCTGTGGCCGAGGTAGTTAAGAGTTACACTCTGCAGTAAAAATGATTCAAATCCACTCAGACATGTAACTCACTCTGAGGACAATAAAGACCAGTCTAGCTTTTAGTCGTCATGGCGCTTCAGACTTCTTATGAATATAGAAATGCTTGCTTGACGTTTCATATGTGGTAAAGAAAACAGGACATGCTAAGCTGTATTAGCATTGTCTGTTGATCCAGTGTGAATCAAACATGTCAGTAATTTGTAAAGTAAAAATTATCCTACTAGGGATGCACGATATTATGGGCATGGTATCAGTATCGGCCGATATTAGCTGTAAGATTTAATCAGCCATTCTGTCAAAATAACTCACATATACAAAAGGTGTTGTTCTTATATGACAAACCAGGGACAATGATGCCTGCAGCACAGCACAATGTCATGACATCACACGCGCCAAACTAAATCTGATCACGGCTGGAGAGCAGAACCAAGTGAAAACATCAGCGGTGTGGAAGTTTTTTTAACTGAAAGCAGAGCTGCTGTTTGCAGTGACTGATTAGCATTGGTGATGCAAGGAAGAGAAGCAACAAAGTCCTACAAGATTTTGAACTTTATCCATCTCAAGATCCACCATTTCAACCATTACGATGAGTTCATGGTGGCCAAAAGAGAAAGCAAGAGAGCGGCTAACCGCAAAAAAGAAAAAGAAAAAAACCTCACCAGCAGCACATTTTACAAGCTATGGATATATATTGGTTTCGGTTATCGGCCAGATGAGTTTTAGTATATCGGCATATTGGATAACAACCAAAAATCTAACAAAGTGCATTTCTATTACCTTCTATGTTTTGCTGAACTCTGCGGTCCTGTCATAATACTTATCCAAAGTGAATAAGCGTCTCTGTGATCTGGACAAAAATGGGCAGGAACTGAAACATAATCAGGTGGTTTTTGTTTTCCTATGTGCATTTTTGCTTTGGGCACCGTTGGAGTGCATCGAAAACCTTTTGGGTCCCAGACCAGCAAAACCTGACCAACGTACAGCAGCAAAACGAAAAGGTATGAAAGATCTCCAGCAATGAAAAAGTTGGATCCTCCATCACTAACAATTTAAGGTTTGCAACAACATATGTTGGAGTGAGAACAAACTCTGGTGATGAATCACGATGCTGAGTGTTTTCTGTCCAATACGCACCGTTAATTAGCACCCGTCTGCTTAACATTGAGCCCTTCACCTGCTCTTGTTTTACACACTGTATAATTAGAGACATACTGCTTTGTGATGAGATTAGCCACTTCACTGCAATGTGTTCAATGAATTGTATTTAATAAACTAGAAGGTTTACTAAATGTTTTGGTGTGATTTTTGTTGTTGGTTTCTTTTTGTTGTTTTTTTTTTGTTTGTTTTTTTAATGGTGCCATGATATTATATTTCACAGAGCTGTAGGGAGGCCCAGCTATCGTTACAGTTAGTTCATATTTTTGTTCAGCCAAATACAGAGATGAGTGAAAAATAAACAAAAGCTTAATATTGTTTTTATTATTCAGTATTGTCATGTAAAAGTTGAATGAGAGCTCCTGTTTCAATAAAAAACTAAGTTAAGTGCAAATCCAGCTGCATGAAGAATTCAAACTGCCACGCAGGGCAAAATGATCCAGATGGTGTGATTCTCAGGCCACAGACATTACATTTCTTTATGATCATAATAAAGTTGCAAGATGTTTGCAGTCCTACTTACTACGAAATTAAAATGAAAGCCATACATGAGATTAAAAACCTCCATACCCAGGGGAGTAGATGGATGATTGAGTCATATTTTTTATTGGGGCATTGCTGTAATATCTGAGCAGCAGTTGTATCTTCTCACTCCATTCTGTGGGGCTGCATAGCGTTTGTGGCTGCTCACAAACAAAGATTTTGGACAAACTGTTCAAGATACCGTTAAGTTTTAAAAACTTTGTGCGTTTGGTTAATTAAGGGGATATGAGAAGGCTGGTTCCCCTCTGGACTTTTATTGTGGAGAAAATGCTGAAACAAGGATCCGATCCGGACTGGAAAATCTCACCGTCTCAACAACCAGGTCTCAGTTTTACACCTTAGAAAAACATCAAGCAAACTAAAAATGGTGCCATGGTCCCATAGTTATTTCCTACCCTAAACATCAGTCGCTGCATTTTTATTACAAATGTGAGCAAATCTTTATCTATATTCTCCTGATGACAAAAAAAACAATTAAATTCAGTAATTGTGGTGTTTCCATTTCAATAGAAATTAAATTTAAATCACATGTGAATAAGCTGGTTCATATGACAAGTCATTAAAAATCATAGTAGGGATGGATGTAAACATTATGATATATATTCATAACTCAGCCAAGGTGCTAGCACTGATCAACTATCAGATATCAGAGTCTTATTCAGGCATTGGAGCGACAAGCCCCGCCTACTTGGCTACATATGTGGGATTTGGGGGAAACTGTAGTTGGTCATTTTACCTTACAGCTACAGATTCAACATGTTGGAATGTCAGACGTCTTTCTGTAAGAGTTCTGGTGGAGCCAGCTGCACATTGTCTGGAAAAAACTGAAACAAGCCATCATCCTCCTACTACTTCCCATTGTGTCCTTCATCATTTCCGTCAGTAGTAACATCTGGCTAGTAATCACATGACTTGTGTGATGCGAAAAAAAATGGTTCCACATGAGTTTTGCATAACGCATCTATTTCGAAACGACTAGAAACCCACCTCATCATATATACAGCAATTTTCTTTTTACAATTTCAGTTAACATAGTTACTTGATTGTGCTGTAAAAATTGCACTATGTGCCTGACAAACACATAATACTGCCCCTTTAATACAAATTTCAACTGAATTACATTGAACTGAATCACAGTTCAATGTGATTGAACTGTGATTCAATCACATTGGTCTGATGGGGTTCAGAGAAGTGGGTCATGCTGTAATTTATAGACGAATCACAAATTCATTCCTGAAGAATAATTGTTAAAAAAAAGAAAATGTTTTCAAAATTCAAAACATTTCAATAGACAAAGCAGCTTAAATTCAAATGTCCTCAAACTCCAAATGAAAACGATCTCTGCGGTGTCCTGACTCCATTGCTAAATTATTTCTTTGTGCCTCTTATTACACTCATTTTCTGTGACCGCCGTGTGTGAATGGTAATTATTCTGACTTTCAGTCTGTCCACACTGTGTGAGCAGATGGACTGAATGATCAAATGACTGGAATGACTGGCTGTGATTGATGGTTTCTCATGGTTCCTCGTCTTGTTGTTTTCTGCAGTTAAGGCCAGCCAATCCTCTGGGTTCAAGAGGCCAGTTAGCCCCTATTAACATTTCAAGTTAGGAAAAACATAAAATAAAACAGATATTTCCACGTATCTGTGCTTGCCTCTCCAACCCTCCAAAACAATTCCTCGTCTCAGTTCCTATCAATCCCTTCAAAGGTTCGTAGATGATTTGGCCCTATCAAAGTAAGAATTATTCACTTGTGCTTCTGGAGGTTTGTTCTGCATACTACACTCTCAGCATGATTGAATTTTCCACCTACACACTCGCATCATTTCTGATGTCACTCACATCTCTCTGAAGCAACTCTGTCATCGTCTTTTAGCCCGCTCGATATTCCCCCACTGGCATTTTTTCGTTCTGTCTAAAGTAGGTCTGGTAGAGGGAAGGGAAAAGAAAAAAGAGAAAGGATGTGTTTTCCTTGTTAAAATCAGCCAGGAGGGAGGAAAATAACACAAAGTTTTGCTTTCTTGACAGAAACAGGGAAAGGCCTTCCTGTGCAGGGAGCAGAGTGTCATCAAGTTTCGATTCAAGTATCGTCATGTTACACAACACCAATCATCGCTCACCAAAAGGCCTGCTGAGCACGCAAAGGCCTGCCAGCATGCAAAAACAAATGCTTGTTTAGTTTTCTCATTTCTTCAGCTGAATGTACACACAGTTTTCTCCTTTGACTGGGTTCACTGGCAGATTTTCATGTTGGAGAAATCCCTCTACCAGGTTTCCCTTCACAACAGGGGGTCTGCGATCCGTAGCCAAGTAACACTGACTGCTACTGCAACGTCTGAAGCAAAGCACAAACATGTTTGATATTATCTATAGCAGAAAAACACTGTCTTTCTGCAAGTCTCTCTATAGCCCTTGTAGGGCCAGAAGTTTAGTCAAAGCATTTATGAATTTACTCTTTGTGTTTAAGACTATTTTCAGATATTTGTTGCAAATATTAACAACAAATATTAGTAAACATCAAACTTTCTCCACATTCATTACATTTAAGGAATTAAGGAACGAAGCAGCTGATAAATAACAGTGAAACGTAGAGAATCTTTAGAATCCCTATGATTCAGTATCAGAGAGGCAGATATAAAAGCTGCGCCCGACGTTTTCAACCGTGTTTCTGCGCTTGGGAAATCAATGAGAGTTATGAGATAAAGAGTGAGCGTATCAAAGGTAGCACTGAGATCAATCTTCCTCTCCTGTAGCTTTATCGGGCTCTGAGATGCTTCAAAACGAGACTGAGAAATTACTAAACCTTTGGAAACTTATAGTATTTATCAGTGGAAAACAGGCCAGACTAAATAACGTTGAGATTCAGCTTAAGCAGCTTAAGTTGTGTTACGGCTCGGGGTCAAAACGACTTCTCGATCAACAATCGGCTCGCATCAAACTGGGAAAGGAATGAATGTGTTGGCAAAAAAATGGGAATGAGTTTTTGAAGGCAATTAAAGGACAAGATCATTTGGACTCTTGTCTTTTTTCTGGGTAAAACAAATCTGGGTCATTTTATTAATGACTGTATATACTTGTGTGTTCTGAAATAGGACAGTCTGCTATTGAGATTCAGAAAACAGACGAGTTCAAGTAGCAAGTCCATTAAATAGGTTTTACTAATGAGCGGTTTGCTGGACCTTTGACCTTATAAAGAAAACAGATTTTGTAATGAAGCTTGGTAACCTCTCTGTTCTAAGTCATTCAATTACAGGTTCAAATGAACACGTCACATGTTGACATAAACAAAGGTTTTGAGTGACAAGTAATAGTTTGAAGAAAAAAAATCTCATGTAGTACTCAAAAGACAATTTATACTTAAGCAATTGAGCATCAATTAACCATCCACATGGACACAAAACAGGCAGAGTGTATATGCAAAACATATATACACACAGCCTCAATCCTGCAGTTTTATGAGTGACATCAGTTGTGTTTTCTGAAATCTTAAAATGTTTTCCTTGGAGTTGCTGCTGTTGTTTTTTGAGGGGATATTTCCCCTGGGAAATTAAAATTGTTTTTCTTTCTGAGTTATCAGATACGTCTGATAACTGAAAACAGTCATAAT